GTAAGTACTCCTGATTCCTTATTGTGTTTGGCAACTCGAATCTTTGCGCTTGGGTCGACTTTTTTGTTTGCTTATATGGCGTGAAGATGTTCCCGTTTTCTTTTTGAACTCGTTGAAGGAAGATTGACTATGATGAAAAAAATGTAAACTTTTTGTTGCAACTGCAATTGCTATTATTGTTTTCATTATGATCATTGTTCTTAATATTATTATTATTATTATTATTATTATTATTATTATTATTATTATTATTATTATTATTATTACTGTCGCTGTTATTGTTATTAATATTATCTTTACTATGCTTATCATTGTTAGCATTTTTATCTTTATTATGATTATCATTATCACTATCGTAATAATGATAATAATAATAATAATGATATTGTTATAATAATAATAATCATAATAATATTGATTATTGTTATTATTATTATTATTATTATTATTATTATTATTATTATCATTATTATTATTATTATCATCATTATTAATTTTGATATCATTTTCATTATTATCATAATTTTTATTTTTTGATCATCATTAATCATTGCTAGAGAGAGAGAATGAGAGAGAGAGAGAGAGAGAGAGAGAGAGAGAGAGAGAGAGAGAGAGAGAGAGAGAGAGAGAGAGAGAGAGAGAGAGAGAGAGAGTGAGGCGAGAGAGAGACGAGAGAAACAGAAAGAAAGGGAAAGTGAGCGAAGAAAGCGATGAGAAAGAGAAAGAGAGAGGGAAACAAATACACATACTTATAGTCAAACACGTATTGCATGTGTGTTTTTGTGTATGTATATACTAAACATATGTTTTATATGAACATACACACTGACATCCATACAGACATACACACATCTATATATATGCATACACACACGCAGATACACACATCTCTGTATATGTACACACACACACACACACACACACACACACACACACACACACACACACACACACACACACACACACACACACACACACACACACACACACACACACACACAAACATACACACACACACACACACACACACACACACACACATACACACATACACACACACATACACACACACACACACATACACACACACACACACACATACACACGCACACACACACACACACACAAACACACATACACACACACACACACACACACACACACACACATATACACATACACACACACATACACACACACACACACACACACACACACACACACACACACACACACACACACACATACATACACACACACAACACACACACACACACACACAATCACGAAAACACAGAGGTACACAAGTAAATGTTTGAGTGTGTGAATGATTAAGCTTACGCACGCCGACGTGCCAGACAATCACATTCCAAAATAGCCTCTGTTCTTGGCCAGTCTCCTTTTTCGCCCTAAAATGGCTTTGAAGATTTGCCCGCCAGTTCATTCCTCTCGTCCGCGCTCCTCTATCACGGCCAGCCACCAGAGCCACAGTGACCTTGCTTTTAAATCTCCCGTTTGCTGCTTTGTCCTTTTGTTTATATGGTCACGTGATTCTGTTGGTGCGAAGATACTGTTGTTTGGGAGGAGGTTGAGGCTATAAAACAGCCAAATCGAGAGGAATAAATGTTGCCATTATAGCTAAAAGGAATGAACATGAGTAAATGTAGTAAACAAAAGCAAAGTCGGAAATTGTCTTTACTCCAGCGACCTTTAAGCTATGATGAGTCAGAGATCGCCGGGTTTGAGGGTCAACGGGATAATAGTATCTTTTTTTTTTTCTTTTTTTTACTTGCTCAACCTTTTTTTATACTCTCAGTCACGCAGAGTACGTAACTCATACTACGCTTCCTCATTCTTTCCCAACACATTTTGCTGAATAAGGTAATGTATATGAATGAAGTGTTGGTGACGTCACTCAGTTCAGTGACGCCTTTGATAACATTGTCATTTGACGTTTTATTTTTTCTAGGGGACAGTAAATCTAATTATAAATCTAATATTAAGCAAATCAGTATTCTGGGAAGAGTTATTTTAGCTTCGTGGTCGCTGAATGCAACTTAGATGAATGACTAAGGAAAGGTTAAATCGACAGTGAAGCAAAGTACCGAAGTACACATTAAGCTCTATTAACAGCATAATACATCTCTGACATTTTGCATTTGGTATAGAATTGGCATGGTGCTCATATATTAAACTCACATTTCACTCGCTCCTCCCCATCTTCTCTTTCCCTTTCACTCGCTCTTCCTCTCTCTATTTCTCTGTCTCTATGTTTTTATTCTTCTCTATTTTTCGTTTCTCGCTCCTATCTTTTATCACTCCTCTATAGCCAATTTCCCCTCCCCTCTCTCTCTTTCACTTCCCTCTCTCTCTCTTTCTCTTCTCTCTCTCTCTCCCTCTCTTCTCTCTCTCTCTCTCTCATCTTTCATTATAGGAAAGGATACTGTGTATGTGGGATTAAATGTTCTTGGATTTATATGAATATACATATATACACACA